TTTTTTTCCATAGAACTTTGACTCGCTTTTCTTTGGGTTTGTTGAAATTTCAAGAAGTCGGCAGCAAGTGTGCTGAAAAGGTGAGTAGTGATCCCAAATGTTATTTTACTGCGACGGCGCAAGGCAACCGCCGCGCTCGATCTTCATAAATTATGGAGATGGTCATGGCCTTTTTATCACTAGCAGTGAGTACCAGAAATATGCTGTTGCGCATATCTCTTATACTCACTGCTAGTGATAATGCAGCCTCTGAATTTAATGGTGGCAATAGCTACCGGCAAATTTAGGAGCCGAAAGGATTAGTGGGCAGCGTCAGAATTGCTTTTTTATTTTGTTTATCAAGCGCTGGTGGCGCTGGAATAATCTCAGCCCACTGTCCTTTCTATCTTTTCGTTATATTTGTTTTCAACTACAACATATATGTAGTATGCGCAAAGTGAAGGATTTCTTGCAACTGAAGTACAAAGTCCAGCAGTTTTATTTCAGCCTTCAGCAAACACTAGTTACAAGAGAGAAACAATTAGAGACCTGGGCTAGTTTGGTAATCGACTACACTCAACACTACAAGATCTTTACGCTCGACGTAGCCGAGGTGGCCAACAGCGAGCTCTTCCACAATCACAAGTTAAATAGTGAGTTGCACTTCTTTTGCATATTTTCTAGGTATCTTTTTGTTACCTGTTATTGTTTGATTGGAAAGGACATATATGTGATGTTTTTCAATTGGCTGTTTCGAGAAGTTTATATAGGAGCTATTAAAACTTTCGTAATACGAATTTCGAACGACGTTAGTTTGTCTGTTCACTCTCTGGTGAAAAGTTGGGATTTCCATTTTTTTTCCGTAAAGATTGCTGAGATATAATGCGATTCCGATTGCTGCTGCAGCTAGTGTATTTCTTTTTATATTCTTTTGTTTAGGGCGCCTTTCTCCTGAAGGAATACGTGCCGTTTTCGATTATCTTGAGCAAAAAAGTGGGCTTTCTAGATTTTATTATTACTATGAAATGTAGAAGCAGGAGCTCATTGTTTTAGAGCACGTTGAGTGGATAGATCTCGCAAAAACACGTTGTCACATTTATTGGCGACGACCGGACGAGTGGGCAGCACTGATATACGCGTGGGCTGTGTCGAACGGTTTGCTGAATACGCCGTGCACTTTGTACGAGATTGCGCACGGAGACGATACCGTGCAGGAATGTTAGTGAAATTTTGGATGTTTGAGATCTTGCTTCAATGTGAAAAATA